AAAACATTACCCTTAAAGGTGTTAGAGATACTTATGATCAAATTTATATTGACTTTAAAAACCTAAAAACCAAAATATGTATTTGTATTTTATAATCAAATGATAAAAATTACATAGGTTTTGACTGAGAATCTTATGTAGATTATGTAGAATTTAACCACTCAATCAGGAACTGAAACTGAGAGTTAGCTGCAAGATAACGTTACATTATTAAAAGATCATTAAAAATTAATCTTTAAATTTATAGTTGACTTATTTGACAAATATGACAGATTGGTCATATTTGACCAATAATCCATATTTAACATATTTATTATATTTTTATATTTATTAACTTTATTAAATTTGTTATATTCAATAGATTTATTTTATTTATTATATTTATTATATTAGATATATTTATCATATTAAATACTATTAGTTTATTTTATATATAAATTAGCATGTATTTTCCCTTAAATTAAAGAATAACTTAAGATAGATTTTGGAAATAAACCAAGAGTTCAATAAAGATATATGTTATTCATTTACTATTACCTTTTGCCATGTTTTCATAGAGGCTTGATTATGATAAAGTTAGTATAATTAATTCAAAGGACTGAATTATATCATCTAAGTTTTATTTCTAGCTTTCTAGCTAACAACGCAATATTTAAACTCTCAATCAGAAACTGAGGATCTTATGATCACTCAATTAGAAACTTGAATGTTTTGATTGAAAAAGCCAAAACTCATTAGTTAGTTTCTCGATTTAGAGCTTTAATTACTCAATCAGGAGAAAATCAAAGTGAATATACTGATAATGAAATATTGGAGTGACTTTATTAGAAATAATAATAATTCAGTATGTATTTGTTAAAATTATAAAAATTTTTTATCAAAAAATTATTACTGACTTTTTTTCTGAACTAAATATAAATTATAACTAGTTTTAGATTTATCTTATAAGTTAATTTTAATTTGTAAAAAAATTTATAATATAGTCTATATTACAATATAATATTAATGTAAATTATTTTTTTATACATTAGATACGATAAAAATATTTTGTTATTGATTACTTTCTTTATATTGAAATATCTGTAAATAGCAAATTAAATTATGAATGTAAAACATCATATTTAGTTATTAAGCTAACAGCAATCTTTAATTTCTCATTTATAATAACAATTAGAAAAAATTCTATCACTTATAAGTAAAGCTTCAAAAATTCCAGTTCAGTTCAAATTAGAGTCCAATCTGATTTAATCCAGGATTTTAGTTCAGTTCCGTTCAGATTATAAATTCAAAAAATGTCAATCTGAACTAATCTGATCTGAACTGAAAATTTTCAAATTAATCTAAAATTTCAGGTTATTAAATACTAAAAAAAATCGCTCAATCAGTTCAGACATGACTTTTATTATTTTTCATAATAAAAAGTCCTCTAACAGTTCAGTTATGATAATAAAAGCCACCTTCGACAGTTCAGATGCAACTTTAAAATATATCATGTCCAAAATGTTAGAGTTGACTTTTATTAGAAAAAAATGATAATAAATTCACCTTTGAACTGTCAGATAACTTTTATTAAGAAAAATAATAATAAAAGTTACCTACAAGTTGTCAGATGTGATAATAAAAGCCATCTCAGACAGTTCAGATGCAGCTTATTAGAAAAAGTCATATTTGAAGTATTGGAAGTAACTTTTATTAAAAAAATGATATTATAGTTATATCTGAACTATTGGGTGACTTAAATTATAAAAACTATTAATAAAAGTTTTTCTAAAAGTTTAGATGCGATAATAAAAGCTCCTTCTAACAATTCAGGTGTAACTTTATTAGAAAAAGTCACATCCTAACTGTCAGAAGTGACTTAAATAGAAAAAATAATAATAAATTCACCTTTGAAAGTTCAGATAGTATAAAAAAGCCACCTCTAACTATTGAGTGCAGCTTAATTAGAAAAAGTTAAATCCAAAGTTTAAAGGTGGCATCACTAATGAAATGCTGACTCATCTTGATTACAAACTACAATATCTTCTTTGGCAACTTATTTGCATGTGTTTTACTATTGGTGACATCTTCTTCAATGCCTCTTTCTTGATTATTTATTTTTTCTATTTTATTGAAATTAAAAATTAGATTATCCTCCTTCCTATCTAAAGAATTTGATATGCTATAACATTTAAATGAACGTCTAATCATATCAGAATCAATTGAATCCCAACTTTGTTTTACACAAGTTGCTACAAGTGAGTAAGATGATCGTTTGATCTTTCCAGATAGCATATAATCCTTAATAGCTTCATTCATCACGTTATTATAAAGATATCGCATCTATTTTACTTAATATTAAATTAATTTATTTTAATTAAATAACAATTAAAAAAAATAAGTAACTTAGATTTGAAAGATTTATTTAATGATATATAAATTAGTTTTAAACGAGAAGTTAATCCACCTGAAATAATAACTAAATCTGTATTTTTTCATAAAACCAATTTTTATAGCATCAGTTTTATGAGCTGTAAAGGAGATAAGTACTAAAAAAATTTTGGGTTTGTACTTCATCTTGCACATTGTCTCCAAATATTTTCTACTCACCAAATCATTTTATTTTCATTCATCTAACCTTTCTTATTAGCACGAATAATTATACCATTAGGATTAGGATTCCATCTGCTATACAAGTTAGAATAATAATAAAATTGGAATGTAATTGATACAATTCTAGTACCATGTTGCTCAACTGTTGTATTATTTGGTCAATTAAAAGCTATTGGTATTTTATCTTGATTAGATAATTGTACTTCTATAATTCAGGAGCTTTTTATTTTATTTTTAAACAAATTTTTTTGTCTTTTGACGCATCTTTTCTGAAAAAAAATAATTTTGATTATTTATCAACGCAAAGCACAATAATGATATTATCATGTGATTTTATGATGTTGACTTAAACATCTAATAATATTTGAAGCAGGTATGTTAATATTTCATTTATTTTAGAATTTATTAAATTTTAAAGCATTAATTCAATTATATTATGTTAAATAGCATCAACAATTTCTTGGCCAATATATCAACTCCAAATCCTTTATTACATTTTATCTAAATATTTACAACATTGCTAGATGGATTAAGCATTTATTAACGAATTACAAATTATATGTTTCTTTATTATATTTAGCAAAATTATTTTCTTTGAAAAAAAAAATAGATAAGTACAATGATTTGATACTAAAACATTAAATTTTAATGATATAAAGATCCATTTCGTCATCCATTTCAGGAATTAAATAATACTCAAGATCAATAAAATCAGTAATTTATACTAATAATTTACAAATGTATAAAAATAATAATATGTATATTTTTATTTACTAGCTTAATTAATATATTAATGCCGATATAAAAAATTTAATTTATAGTTTAATTTTGATATCAAAAAAACAAGATCGTCTACATCAAACTTTATAAATTTTGTATCAATTTAAAGATTGTATTACATTTTAAATAATACAACAATAAAATACAATAAATGCCTTGAAAATATCAAAAAGGTAATTTAAGCATTAAAACTATTTATCCACCACTTCGAGTATTATATCTTCTGTTCATGTTCGACCTTTTTAACCATCTTTACATATACAACCCTTTTGAGACATCTTTACGAAATAAAATATACGCATTTTGAGGTCTTTGAGTTTCTGGCACCTTGACTTAGGTGCAAGTTTCAACATTGTTTTAATTTCTGAAAATTTTCATTTTCAGAAACAATATTTTTAATGAATGAATTTTTATTATTATTAAATAAATGTTCTTGAAAGCCTTTTGGTTAGATTTAATTTCTCATATATAGTTTTTTGTTATAACAAAAAGCCCCCGTTTTTTGACCATATTGTTATTTTTTACCCGTTCGATGGATTTGGTTATTGATAGAATTGTAATTTACAATTTTTATTTTATAAATGGTTTTTTTCAAATTAAAAATTATATTGTCAAGAATAAAATGATTTATAAAATTAAAAAAGTTTTAAAACGTAATGTTAAAGAAAATGTCTATTAAATATCAATATTAAAGAATGTAAAACATGTAAAACATCATCAAAAACAAATGTGTAATTTGTACTCTACAGAAAATGTATTGTGAAAATCAATTGCAGTTTATGTTGTGTAAATTAAAATTCCTTGGCGTTTACAATTTAGGATACATTAAATTCATTAAATTTCAATAGAAAACTTTTTTTTAAAAGTTTTTTTATACAAAAAAACTCGTGTGTGAGAAAAAGCTTCAGCTTCTCATATCGAAGACTCAATAGGATAAAGAACAACCATATCCAGATTTTAAAGTACAAGAAACTTCGCTATTTACATTTATTTTTTTTTAATTTGGTTTTAATTCTGTAGAAACGATGTGAGGAGATATGCAAAATAAAAAGAATTCACATATTCACATTTATTTAGATTACACAAATTATTTATAGTATATGAGGTTTTAAAATTAATTTTCTTCAAAGAACGACAATTTCAATATTATTTTAAGAACAATGCAAAAATATCAATTATCCTGAAAAATTTTATTCATTCAATTACAGCATGGACGTTTTGACCTATTTTTATTCACGATTTTATTTATTGGATTGCCTAACTCTCATAAAGAAACCTTTGTACTCGTAAATATTAATGTTTTGTTTCAATTAAAAGTATTTCTAATTTTTCCGAAATAAAATTATTATTCTTTTTTTTAATTCTTTTCGCATTATTATTTATTATTTACTTTCTATTAAAGGATAAAATTTTTTTAGGGGATCTACTCTTTTTTCGAACATTCTAAAAATCGATTTAAAAAAAAAAAAAAATTTCAATGTTGGAAAAAAAAAAAATGTCTGCTTTTCAACCCTAAAATTTCTTATATAAAGTTGTCAATTATTTTTTATATTCGTTGTAACTTTCAAAACTTAAAAATTATTTTTTCTATTAAGAATTTATTTTCTCAAATCAACACAAACATTAAAATGACAAATAAAAGTACAATTCGTCGTCGTCAAGCTAATAAAACAGCAATAAGAACTACCACTGCTTCTACTTCCTCTACTTCAATATCTCTACAAACTTCATCAAACATTGATGAGAAATTAAAACTAGCAGAAAAGCTAGATTCATTAAAAATCAAGAACATTTATTTTAATAAAAATGAAAATTCTGTCATTAAAATATTGTTTGTTAAAGAATTTTCAGAAATTAAAACAATATTGACACCTGCACCTAATTCAAGGGCGCAAGGAACCCCAAGACCTCAAAATGCATATATAATATTTCGTTATATGCTTAATCGTAGTAACATACACTTCTAAAATAGCTGGTTTTCTATGGAAGACAATAAATTCGAATTTGAGCTTCCCATTAGAAGGAAGCGTAATGAATTTATTAGTACAGTAGTACAGTTTGCAACACAACATTTAGAAGCTAGAGATAATATTAGGCATGGTTGGGAAAATATGGTTGTGACAGTTGGAACATCGAAAAAAATAACGCTGGCGTAGAATATGAGTGGTAAAAGAACAAATACGGACGGAAATCAATGTAATTTGTTTGATTCCTTATTGCAAGATTGTTATTTTAATGTTGCAAGGAATTTTTATATTAATTTGTTACCAAATTAAAAATGAATTTCTCCTTAGTAATCCTTACAATTTCGGTTATTTCCTTTTGTTTCTGCTTAATTATATTAATGATGATAAATTATGATTTATGATAAAGTGAAATCGTTAAATTTTGGTGCGTTATTGATTTCATTATTTGAAAATGAAAAAAAAATGTCCAACTGAATCACCATCATCAGTTCCATCCTATGCACATCATCAAAAACTAACTATCATTATTATCGTTAAACATTACTACCGCCCGTTTCATCACCTCTGACATATCATATCAACAGAATTAAATTTTTTTTTTATCAATAACATCAAGAGATGCAGATAAAGTTTGCATCAGATTTTACCATTATCTGCTGGTCTTTTGATTTTCTTATTTGTTAAGGAAGAAGCGATTTTTTAAAACTTAACATACTTGAAAAATAAAGTAAGATAAAAACGATAGTGTCACGTGATATTTCGTGAATTCCTACGGGCACGGTGGTTATATAAATAATATAATCATCACCTCGCGTCAAGCTTTTTTTGTCAGTGATGCTGGGGGAGTTTGTATTTTATTTTATGCCATAAAATATTCTGGTGAATGTTGAAATACATACTTTGATAAAAGTTGGCAATCGATAATTTAACCATCAGTAGGGATTTTCCTACAACCGTTGCAGATCAATAAATTTAAATTTGATAGACATTGCTATAAAATTCGTGTTCTCAAAATTAAAACTTATTGGATCCCAATATCAAAAAAACTAAAATCAATAAATTTCAATTTTATTAATTTTATTACAAAGTCAATATTGTTAATTCATCTGACAACATAGAATTTTTCTCTTGCGTTTTATAACGTGAGCTTACAAAGGTTGTTTTTGATCTCATTATTACAGTTTCCTTGAGCATGCTTAAACTTATGCTTTATTGGTGAATCTCCAGATATTAAAAATAAAACGCATAAACCATGACTAAAAATAAATCGGGAGAAATCTTTTTTATTACATAACAATAAACAGGTTTCGAAATTGTGCGACAACGTAAACGAACTAACCAAATCTGCCATTGTAAAAAAAATATTTTGTAACACTTGTTATGAATCTACCCCCAGTTTTGTATAGAATCCTGTTAACGGAAATAGGAATCTGGTGGGTAAAATGCGTTAATCAGTTATGCATAAATTTATGCAAATTAAGATTGGTACATATTGTTCAGAGCTCGTTACCAGCAAAAAAAAAGGTTCTAGATCGTTTAGTTGAGGAAAAATTTCACCTGTTAAAGTCTCATAGGTTACTGTAACCGCTGAGTTGGAAATTACTCCTCAAACAAAAATTTGTATTTTTATTCTAAGAAATTAATAATTGGAATTTGATTTTTATTTAGTTATTTTTTTTTTTATTTATTTAAATATTTACTAATTCTTAAATAAGCATAATAAAATTTATTGTCAAAATATTCTCACCTACATCAAATAATGATATAATTAAATTTTAAAACAAAGACGAACAATCAATCCTTTGTCTAACATATTAAAAATTTAAAAAAGAGATTATATTATTTTATTTATAGCTATATTGATCATTTATCATAAAATAAATAAAATAAATCCGAACTTTTTAAAATATTACTTATGTATGTTAATGTAAGATGCCATCCATTAAGAAATTCTATATTATATGCTTGTAACGGGTCATTTTCATAAAGAGCATTTAAATTATTCATATCGTTGACGAAACTTTGATTGTTATGGTAATTAGTTGATCGGTATAAATTTGATTGATAGCATATCAAAAAAAGGAAAGATCGTGGTTGTTGGTAAAATCATCTTTAGAAGAATCCTCCGGTGTGATTCCCGTCAAAAGAAAATGTACCGGGATTCAGGATGCTGAGCATGTTGAATCATAATACTCGGGTTCAGAGGAATTATCTTGTTGGATTTGTATTATGCGAGAGGAGGCTGAAATATCTTCATAAAACCTTGATGGAAACTGTTGATAATGGGACCTTTGTAAATCCGGAGTATGCTTGTCATTGGCTCACACAGTTTTCCTCTACCCTTTATCGAATCTCGAATCTTCAATATTAATAAAATTATTATTAACGTAATCTTTGATATTATTATTATTTTTTTTTATTTTTGCTAAATGGTTTCCTTTTGTTTCGGTTGATATTTGTAATTAGGAAATAGGTTTTAATGAACGAGAGCGCATAGGGTGGATAATATGGTTTAATTATTTTTAATTTGATGGGATCCTGATGCTGGACTTTGGAAGAAAATGTACCAGGAAAACGATATTATTCTAGTGGCAAAGGTTTCCTGCGCTTTTGGAAATACTTTTAAAATCTGCGTTGGGAATTTCATTCCTGATTCGAGTTGTAAACCTTTACTGTAAAGAATGAATGCGTTTTGAGGGCGAGTCACCTTTCCCTTTCTTCCGCTTGTCCTCTTACAAGGGAAATTAAATCTTTGCGCGGAATGTTTGTTGGAAAGACGAATCCCTCTTCCTGAGTTATCTTTTCCAAATATTCATCAATAGTACGTTTTAATTTAGCTTGGAATTCTGGTGTAAAAAGATGAATTTTCCTACGATTCTTTCTCTGTTTCGGTTGAGAAGATTTTTTAGAAGAGAATGTCTTTCTTTCTTTAGGCATTATTTTTTTTTTTTGAATCATCAATTTAATAATTTGATTTTTTTTCTCTCTTTGTGAGTGAGTATTTTAGAAATTAGAAATCAATCCGTATTTATACTTTCGGACAGGAGTAATTTTACTTTTTTTTTCATTTTAATATTATTATATGGAACGTATTACCTATTATGAGCACATTTATAATACTTTCCGTCCGAATTGTAAGATATTGTGTTAAAAAAAATAATATTATACCATTTAAATATACAATAGATGAATTTTATGAATCAAAAATGCCGAGGATATTAATCATGAAAACCTATTTTTAGATTAACTATAAAAAATATTTAAATACAGATTACGTAATTTTTTATTAGATTAATATGTTATAAAAATATAACTGATTAAAGCTTATATATATTAATATAAAATAAAAAATCTTCATTTGGTTAAAAAATCTTAGAACTTTGATTTTCATAACTATGTATTTGTAAATTATACTTGCATTATTTCTTCTAAATAATACTGTATGTATTTTATTCTCTTCATTTGATTCTCTAAAAGCAATTCAATTATATATATTTAATTATAATTATAAATATTAAAAAAATTATAAACTTAATACAATTATTAATAAATAATTATCTATAATATGAGTTATTAGTTTTATAAACTCATAATGATACATATACAAAAAGATTTTTAGCAAGATAAAGATAGTAAATTAAAAATATAATTTATTAAATAAAATTTATATCAACTTTTTCTAATTAGAACACAAAAAATACTTTGTAATTCATAAATATTTAAAATGATTATGTGTAATTTAAAGTAGTTAATATATAAATCTTTTTAATCATAACTATAAATTGAAATACTATTATATAAGGTTATTTATATGTTTGATTTTACCTTTAAATATATTAAAATTTCATTTGAATATTATGAATATATAATATGATATAACAGATATAATAGGATTCCTTAAAATTGAATCAAATAAATATTAAAGCAATTTGAATTTGATCTGATTTTTTTTTAAAAATTGAATTGAATTGAATTGAATATTTAATCAAATCAAATCAAATTAAATCAATTTGATTGAATTAAATCAAATGAAATCAAATATTTATTAAATTAAATTAAATCAAATACAAAAAAAATTTTAATTTAGTTCAGTTCAAATTGACTTTTTTAGATTTCTAATCTGAATTAAATTAAATCAAAAATTTCAAATCAGATCAGATTAGTCTCTAATCTGAACTAATCTAAGATTTTTGAAGTTTTACTATAGATCTATCAGAAAAAATCAAGTTTCTATTAATCACTGATTTTATTTACATCTACATAGCTTAATTTCTATAATATTTAGAAATGATTAAGGTTGTTAGATGAAATTAAGAGTTTAAATAGACATCTAAATAGTAAAGAAAAACTTGGTTAAATGATATTAAAACTTTATTAAAAATCTACAAAATTCAGAAAAAGGTAAACTATATCAAAGCTTATAAAAATAGTAAAGTTATATCAAATACTTAGTAAAAATTTAGTAAAACTAAAAATTTAGATATTAAGCTATATCAAAAATAAGTTTAAATAAGTAACTTTAGGCATGATTAAGGTTACTTGAGAAACTAGAGGATTTTTTTTAACAAAATTGAGAATTGCTAAAACTGTTAGAACTATATTAAACTCCTATAATTACTTATATTGAAACTATAACAAAATGCTAAAATGCTAAAACTATTATCCATTAAATTGTCTAGCAGGCAAATTTACCTGCGAAATTAAAAAAAAATTATTAATTTCTTTATAAAATATTAAATATTAATTTTAGTAATATTATTACTATATAAAAAATATAATT